ATAAACTACTCTACGGGTTTAGCTTAGTTACCAAAACAAGAAAACGAAAAAAAGACCAGCTATGTTTTAAATTGACAAATACTCCCTTAAAAGTGGTAATGTTTTTCAGACAAAAACAGGCATTATCACAAATCAGTCCACGAAGGCATCAATCCAATGTGTCGGGTCAGGCCAGTCCAAGCAATCGGATCAGTTCAAAGCTTACAAAATGACACTATTTGAGAGGTAACATTTCTTTTGGCATCTCATTTTCATCTCAATTTTCAGCTGTAACCAGCATGCTTTCTAATAATTCGTTCAATTGATCAATCTTTATGCGATCATGAGGTTTGTATGCTGAGTGCTGGTGAAGTATTTGATTTAAGTCTCTTTGATCTAAATAGCTTTTATGATTAACCGTGTAGTCACATATGACATGCATGCAAATTGGATGGTTTTTTCGTCTTTAGTCTCATCTGCTTTTTATATTTTGAGTTTGTTAAGAGGCTAAGTTGCATAAGAAACACAGAACAAACACTTGCAATAAAAGAGTTGGGTGAGATATTTTTTTGGTAAAAAGGATAAAATATCTTTGGAGTTCAAAGTATGGAGATGGTCTGTTTTTTGTATAGAGTAGTAGCCTTTTATTCTATTTCTATTTTTTTTGGGCTTAAATTGGCAAATTCGTAAGCTAGGCCCAGCAGATTCAGTTAATGCACGAACACAAACATGCAAACCCACCCACTTGGCCCAACTCCGTAATTTAGATGTGCCATTTTCAGTGGCCCAACTCCGTATTTTAGATGGATTTGCATACATTTAGAAAATAAAGATAGCTCAAATGATTCCAATTTACGAGGCATGAATATTATTTGACTTCAAATTGCTATAATACAGTTGTGGTCATATTTATTTAAGTATTTCTATCACCAGTCTGCTCAATAAAATTGATGGATATAATGTTTGAAAGGAAATATTACTATTCTAAAGTAAAATGTTGTATAATTGTTAGGTCGAAATTAATTGGAACCATGAAAATAAAATCACCTGGCTTTTCGTTTTTTGGACTTTGATCCCTTTGGTCTATTGAATTATGGGATCTCTGATTTCATATACAAACTTTTACTGTTTTTAGATTCTTCAATTTCTTGAACTACTTTTGGATATCTGGGTTTGATTTGCATGTCGATCATTTGAAAAATTACTCACGAGAGAAAAACTCCACTCTACCGATTTGTTTATATTGTGCTATCACCTGATGTACAAGGTGTGTCTGTGTATGATCTAACGGTAAAAATCTGACTAGGTGATACCATAACGAATGTCCCATTTGAGTATGAGTGTAATTATATATGTTAAATAATATAATTGGCTAATGTAAACATTACCAATATTCATTCATGTGGTTTTAAAATTTCCAAATGTACACTCGAGAAGAGTTACATGGAGGTGCATTTATTCTACGGAGGCCACCCATTAAAACGGTTATGTGATGGTAGTTCTCTAGTAGCTTGCATGCATTAATTGATTTCTATGTATTGGATCTATGATTTTTATTTTATATATTTATATATCATATATTTTTTCTTCGGATATTGGCTGTCGCCTGTATGATTTGATTTGTTAGAACGTGCGTAGAGACACGCTCCAAGGCCATTTTTAACTATAACAATAAACACTAAGGTTGTTTAGAGTAGATCTAAATAGCCAATTAAATTTAATTTTTTACTAAAAAATAGCATGGGAGAAATGTTACAGTTCCGTTACGGAATCATTCCGTCAGGATTTGTATCTTTTATATCATCATGTAACCGTCTTGGATATATAATCTAACGGTTACGAATTCTGTCAGAATAATTTTGTAAAATCTCCCATTTTATGATCTTTAATTCAAGAACTTCATCAATGTACTTCTAACCAAGCCCAATTAAGTTCAATTTTTTGCTTTTGGTGTTTTTGATCGAGTAATTTGCAAACACATCACTGTACCCTTAACTTTTCAATCCGTTTAATTTTTATTTATATTAATTTTCACATTTTATTTTACATTAACATATACATTGTGTCTAGTCTAGAACATAAAATAATGTACACGATAATCGTACTAAATAATAAATAAATATACCTTATTTAAGTTGGCTGGTCAATGCCTATCAAGTATCCAATGCAAGTGGCCGAGTATAGGCCTATAAGGTAGATGGAAGATCTAACATGAGAGCCACGTGTATTACTTTGCCAACTACTAACATATTTTCATTCTTTTAAGGTTTAATTGTCTATAAAACTCCAATTTCTAGTACAAACTCAACATTTGCTAATTTGCATAATTCACTTATCAGTTTGTTTGTTTGTTTTTTTTTTTTTGTTTTTTTTTTCA